TTTAGATGAATTTTTACAGGAAGTGTTTAGGAAGGCTGTGCAAGTCACATGCAGGGAGGTGTGACTAGGGTTCATAAACAAAGTGATTTAACTCCTAATTGAGCAGTGAGACTTCAGGGACATGATTTGTAAACCAAAGCTGCTTCATTAAGCTAAAGTTGTTTTGGGGACTATAGTGTCCCTTTAGTGTTAGTGAAACAAAGAGAAAGGTCTGGGCATACAAGGTTACATCCAGTGCAGACTTTTATTGGACAAGAAAAGGCAATGTTTTGACTCAGCAGAGTCCAAACAACTTCCTGACTGAAGTGTACATTAATGGAGACTGAACAGAATATAGGAATGCATTTCCTAAGGTAACAAAACAATTTTCCTGTTCTAGGCTATTAGTTTAAAATATAAATAAACAACTCCGCAATTTACCTGCACTACTGCATCACTACAAAATCATTTCTAAGAGAAAACTTTAAGAACCATAGGTGTTCATTTACAAGAGCCCACACATTACATTATGAAAACAGAACTGTCATCTGAACCATCTGCACTGACTGCACATTCCAACATTAACTAAAAGTTATCTTTTGATTGTGGCACATTTACAGCGCAACCATGTAAATTCATCTAACCGTCACAGTGCCGTACATGGAAGTCCATGGATACGTCAAGACTGAAGAATCTCCACTCGTGTAGTGTTTCTCTGCAGCTGAGCATGACTGGAGCACGAAGGGAAGAGATACCCTAGATATGCAACTGTTATGAAGGCATAGGGTTTTTTTAAATTTGTTTTTTACATTCTAGTAAGTGTTTTATGCGTATCTCTGTTGCACTACTCACTCCAATAAGCCCTTCAATAGTGTTTTAGTAGAAAGAGAAAATGTCTCATTCAGAGAAGTTACAGTTCCCCTTTATATAAACTGTTAATGATGTTTTTGAAATTAAAGTTATAAATAGATAAATGTGTGGGGCGGGCACTTTATCACTTTGTATGGGATATATATTTTTTACATTTAACCTCTTAAAAACCAGGGGTTAGGAAAATAGTTATTATTATGTCAGAGATGAAAGAAGCGTCTATGCAAAGAATACAATGTTTCCATAGCAGGACAAGTGTTTAACTACTTTGCCTGCTGCGATGTGTTTCTAGTGCACTTGACATCACAGGAATTAAATCAAAGTACGTGTACATGCAAATGCCACCATAGTTCTCTTTATAAGCAGTTTATGATTAAAATAGTAATTTAACCAGATTACGTGAACACCTTCTGCTTAGCAGCAAAACCATTGAATCATAACCACAAAGTGGGTAGAAAATGAAGTGCACTGATTAAAAATTCTCGTCAAGTAAAAAGAAGCTATTCATAATGGTTGCAACTTTAATTTTTTTGCAAAACAAATGTTAAATTAAACATGTCTGTCATTTTAGTAGAGTTTGTCTGTCAGACAATCTGCTGCAAAATTTGGTCACAATGTGAATAAATAGTGACATAATGCAAACACTGAATTAAAATATCTTCACTTGAAAATACATGGAAATATGCTAGGGTAGGCACCTAAAAAGCCTATTTAATCCAGCACACTTACTTAAAGGGACACTATAGTCACCCAGACCACTTCAGCTCAATGAAGTGGTCTGGGTGCCAGGTCCCCCAAGTTTTAACCCTTCACATGTAAACATAACAGTTTCAGAGAAACTGCTATGTTTACATTGCAGGGTTAATCCAGCCGCTAGAGGAGCTTCTGCGACGCTGGATGCGAAATTTGAATCCAGCGTGCAGAACGTCCATAGGAAAGCATTGAGAAATCATTTCATTATGACTCTTTAATAAGGGTTTTCTAGTTAGTTACTAACCGCTCTTTGAGATCACCTTCTACAGTGACTTCTTTCTTTTACTATTTAATTTTTTCCCCCTGTTTATATCCTGTAAAAAAAATAGTGGATTTTCTTCTCACCCATTCACCCCAGCAGATAATCACACTAAAAAAAGAGGCAATGGTGTGATTCTTGGGGATGTTGTCAGTTACCATATTTTCCTGCGTACAAAGTATCCCTGTTGGAGACACTGACTGTGAAATCATATTTCACAACTGTCGATATATCCATTAACATATTTAAATCACCAATTAGAAAATTACTATTCTACGAAGAAAAGATCTTGAAACGAAATTCAAGAAATTACAGGTACATATTTGCTCTAGCTACAAATAGCCAGAAGTCTGGCATATACCAGATGAATCACATCTGTAAATCGTGAAAGACACTTGAATTCTCTGCTGCTTGTTATGTCATAACAATGCTTTCAAATCAGTCATCAAGGTACTGTGCAGCTGCTCTGGACCAAAGCTGTACATGGAAAACCCTTACTTTTAAAACAAGGCACAAGCACATTTCAAGGCCATGATGGTATACAAAATAAAAAAAGATGGCCAATAAAGAGTGAGATAATAGGTCATCGCATCCTGCATTAACAGTACAAAAAATTCTGGATGTTAATTCACAGATTTTACTATTAACATGACGTAAAGTCGTGATTTTATTAACGACACGGAGTATTATGCAGCACTCTTTTTTTATTTTGAATATAACATTCAAACGGCATTGTAACGGACCGTTTTGCACACAAGGGGTAAAAACCGTTTAGGCGATCGGCCCCCTTTCCAGAGATACAGGCACAGCTACTGCAAAACACCAAAACTCACGAACTGGATACAAAATAGCACTCCAACTCCCGAACTGGAACCTCACGAATAGCTGCCAGCAGACGAACAGGAAAAGCTCCCAAGCGGCTTACACTCCTGGCAATCAGTCTCCAATAGCATACAGTTAATCCCCCCAAGAACGAGACAAGGCTCCGTGTTGAGGGTCAAGCAGTGGTCTGAGGTGCTGGCACACCCAGCCTGGTTTTTATTACAGTGTTTCAAATACAGGACCACCCACAGGGAGGGATAAAACAACCAATCATATCACAGTTACATCCCACATATTCCCTCCCCTTATCCTGAGAGGAAACTCAATTATACAAACAGTTAAAACATACTTTCTACCCAACTTTCATAACTCCAAAACCATACATCACATTCACATAAAATTACATATTCTCAATCAATCCATTCAGGGGAACAACATATTCAAAAATGGCATGTATCAGACCAGGGGTTCAAAAGTTAGTAAAAAGTCCTTTGTGACTAAATGAAGCATGGCTTTCTGGCCCAAACCAGTTTCAGAGTCTTCTATCCTGGAGATAAGTAATTCAATTATCTCCCAGGACACACACAAGACTCCATTAAGCACATGGTTGCAAAAGACACAAAACACTTTAAAATACATAAAGTCACATTTTACACATAACACACAGACATTTCACATATCCCCAGATAGCTCAGGTCTGAGCGCACATTATTAAGTGAATGGCGCTCAGACCACACGAATACAGTTTAATCGCCATGGAGCCAAAGTCTTACAGTCAGTTTCATACGAATGGGCTCCATGGGATTCCTATCTGGGGTATAACACATTCAAACAAATCTACCGAACCCCAGGCAGAAAAGCACGAATGAAGCTTTTCTGCAGGTAAAAAAAGATGTCTTTTAAAAAGGGGCCATAGTCCAAAGGCAGCAGGCGAGCAACCAGGCTTCTCCAATGCAATGTGGCGAGATTGGTCTCGTCACATCTCTCCCCTTTTCCAAACAGGCTAACAGGGTATCTGACCTCCTGCCGGTCAGTGCCCTTGTTAGTCCAGCAGCCCACCCACAAAACATAATCAGCAGCACAGCCCACCCACAATAAATGGTTACTACACCTGGGTAAAGGAGAAGCTTGTCCATGTCCAGGTGCCTCACCACGGCTGTGCTGGGTACGGGTACGCTGACTGGGTGGGTTGCTGCGTGGGCAGAGACCAGAGGCACTATGCCCTGTTGCCAGCGCTACTGGGAGGGTAGCCTGGTTGAAGCCTGGTTGTTGGAGGGGGAGACCGACTGTCTCCCCTTTAACTACACCGCTCTGCTGCTGGAGACCGACTGTCTCCCCTTTAGATACACCGCTCTGCTGCTGGAGACTGACTGTCTCCCCTTTTGTTGCACAGCTCTGCTGCCGGAGGGGGAGACCGACTGTCTCCCCTTTGGATACTCTAAGCTGTCGCTGGGGAGAGGGGGTAACAGGCTCCTCTCCCGATAGAACTCTCTGCCGCTGGGGAAAGGAGACTGAGCTCTCTATTCCCTGCCCATTAATGATCCGCCGCTGGGGAGAGGTGGTAGCAAGCTCCTCTCCCATACATACTTTCATCCTCTGTGGAGGGAGACCGAGTGTCTCCGCTCCCAATACAGTGTCCTGCTGCTGGGGAAAGGAGACTGGGCTCTCTATTCCCGGTAGGACACTCTGCCGCTGGGGAATGGAGACTGGGCTCCCAATTCCCTGCTGTATCTCCCGCTGGGGAATGGAGACTGGGCTCCCAATTCCCGGCACATCACTTGGCCGCTGGGGAATGGAGACTTGGCTCCCAATTCCCAAAAAATCACGCTGCTGCTGGGGGGCAGGAACAACTACCCCCTGTAGCTCAGCCTGCCGCTGGGGAGGGAGGACGCTGCTCTCCTCTCCCTGCACTTTACACTGCCTTCCCGGCATATCACTCTGCTGCTGGGGGGCAGGAACAACTACCTCTGCCCCCTGTAACTCAGCCTGCCGCTGGGGAGGGAGGATGCTGCTCTCCACTCCCTGCACTTCACACTGCCTTCCTGGCATATCACTCTGCTGCTGGGGGGCAGGAACAACTACCTCTGCCCCCTGTAACTCAGCCTGCCGCTGGGGAGGGAGGACGCTGCTCTCCTCTCCCTGCACTTTACACTGCCGCTGGGGAATGGAGATTGGGCTCCCAATTCCCGGCATATCACACTGCCGCTGGGGAATGGAGACTAGGCTCCCAATTCCCTGCATATCACACTGCCGCTGGGGAGAGGAGACTGGGCTCTCTCTGTCCCGCAACTGTAGCTGCCGGTGGAGGTCCACCCACCGTGGCAGCTGACCGTCACCCTCTGCCCGGTACAGCAGAGTCTTGAATACTAGACTCCTCACGAACTTCACGGATTTCTCAGCTGGATTAGGTCCGAAGAAGTTCAGCCGCAACCACATCATACGGTCAAATTCCTGTACAGAGTATCTGTACTGCACTGCTGGTTCCATTCTGTTGCTGTCAGGGTCGCTGTACTGAGACATGCGTTGCCCTCAAATTGTAAAATCCACGGAATGGTGTCTCCTGTAGCTGTCCTTCTGGCTGTAGGAACGATCCCGCCACTTGCCACCAATTGTAACGGACCGTTTTGCACAAAAGGGGAAAAAACCGTTTAGGCGATCGGCCCCCTTTCCAGAGATCCAGGCACAGCTACTGCAGAACACCAAAACTCATGAACTGGATACAAAATAGCACTCCAACTCCCGAACTGGAACCTCCCAAATAGCTGCTAGCAGACGAACAGGAAAAGCAGACGAACAGCTTACACTCCTGGCAATCAGTCCTTAGCAGCATACAGTAAATCCCCCCAAAGACGAGACAAGGCTCCGTGTTGAGGGTCAAGCAGTGGTCTGAGGTGCTGGCACACCCAGCCTGGTTTTATTACAGTGTTTCAAATACAGGACCACCCACAGGGAGGGATAAAACAACCAATCATATCACAGTTACATCCCACATATTCCCTCCCCTTATCCTGAGAGGAAACTCAATTATACATACAGTTAAAACATACTTTCTACCCAACTTTCATAACTCCAAAACCATACATCACATTCACATAAAATTACATATTCACAATCAATCCATTCAGGGGAACAACATATTCAAAAATGGCATGTATCAGACCAGGGGTTCAAAAGTTAAGGGAAAGTCCTTTGTGACTAAATGAAACATGGCTTTCTGGCCCAAACCAGTTTCAGAGTCTTCTATCCTGGAGAGTAATTCAATTATCTCCCAGGACAGACACAAGACTCCATTAAGCACATGGTTGCAGAAAGACACAAAACACTTTAAAATACATAAAGTCACATTTATTACATAAAACACAGACATGTAACATATCCCCAGATAGCTCAGGTCCGAGCGCACATTATTAAGCGAATGGCGCTCAGACCACACGAATACAGTTTAATTGCCATGGAGCCAAAGTCTTTACAGTCAGTTTCATACGAATGGGCTCCATGGGATTCCAAACTGGGGTATAACACATTCAAAGAAATCTACCGAACCCCAGGCAGAAAAGCACGAATGAAGCTTTTCTGCAGGTAAAAAATATGTCTTTTAACAGGGGGCCATAGTCCAAAGGCAGCAGGCGAGCAACCAGGCTTCTCCAATGCAATGTGGCGAGATTGGTCTCGTCACAGCACCTGTCTTGCAAGACTTCTCATTGAGCTGCATTAAAACATCTATGATTGGACAGCCACAGAAAGTATGGAGAGGGTTGGAAGGGGAGGGCTTGTAAAGGCTGCAGACAAGAGAACTGCAGGTTTTACAAGCTGTTTTCAAATATTACCCCAATTTAAAAAAACTGAATAATTAAAATCATGTATGTTTCCATTGGGGTTTATCTACTAAACAGTAATGTTTATTTTTTGTTTGGGCAGTGGTGTGTCCCTTTAATAGCATACATTTCTGGATACATTATAATTATATTTCGTGTGTATTTATACCACATTTCGTTTGCAACAGGAGAATGTTAGCATGATAAACATCACCTCTTCATGCAGACATTCCCATGTGCAAAATTTATTTTTTTGTTTGCTTGTTTGTATTCTTAAAATATGTGCATGTCTTTTTTCTTTACTTCCCCCCCCAAAAAAATATTCCCATTGTACAGTACTATGCAAAGTTGGATTTTTTTTAAGTACTAATTCATCTTATATTAATAATGCATAACTTTTATCATTCCACTATTGGTGTTGCACAATGTCTATATAGTTGGCAGGGAACTACACAGATTAGAAAAAAATATTTTTAAATATGCTGAGAAAGTTGTGGATGCAGATTTGGGGGGGGGGGGGGGACTATCTGTTGCTTATCACCAGATTTGGGGCAGCGCATGTGAGATTAATGCTAACAGAAGATTAAATTATCCACATATTTAAGACAATTTCTGATTCATATGATTTGGGGTGCCTGGAAAATGTTGCTTTGACCCATAGTTACATCTGATGACATGTGTTTACTAAAAAGCCTTAGACATCCACCCGCCTTTGCAGGATTTAACACATTCTGTACTATACAAATTTTATCAAGCCATAATTCTATCATGACAAAGCAACAAAAATCAAAAATTTCAATAAATGTGACTTTTTCAATAATCCCTTTTTTACCAATGCAATCTGTTCTTAAGTGTAAAAATTGTTAAATTGGTCAACTGAGGACTCTGGGGATATAAAAAGTGTCAGGAAATGCATTTTAAAGCATCTGGACTAGTTGTATATTCTCATGTTCATATCTGGCTGAATTAAGGACTGACTATGTAAGCAGCTGTGCAGGTGCTTTTGGGGATAATTGGCTGTTTGACTGGATAGATTTTTTTTCTCTCTAAAAAGTCTCTTTCAGCTGAGAGTTCACTACATAAGGTAAACTTGCTCTGTTTGCAGAATAAAGATAAAATGTTTGCATTGCACATTTCTTTTAACCAGCTTTAGCACTATTGCTTTGAATATTCTCTTACTATTGCATTTCAGTAACACTGTATATAACACAACTCTTTAGACACAAAACAAAGCGAACATGGTATTTAGTCAGTTGAACAAAATATCTCAAATTCACATGTTTAAAAATTTCCCAACAATGAGCACAATTACATATACAATTACTTGGTAAACTTGTGCGTTGGTTTTTGGCCAAATTGCAATTAGTTCAAATTTAGGCCGATCAGAGGGCGGTCCAAGTTCTGTTACTTTGAAGCACCATATGGATATACACTGCTCAAAAAAATAAAGGGAACACTTAAACAACACAATGTAACTCCAAGTCAATCACACTTCTGTGAAATCAAACTGTCCACTTAGGAAGCAACACTGAGTGACAATCAATTTCACATGCTGTTGCGCAAATGGGATAGACAACAGGTGGAAATTATAGGCAATTAGCAAGACACCCCCAATAAAGGAGTGGTTCTGCAGGTGGTGACCACAGACCACTTCTCAGTTCCTATGTTTCCTGGCTGATGTTTTGGTCACTTTTGAATGCTGGCGGTGCTTTCACTCTAGTGGTTGCATGAGACGGAGTCTACAACCCACACAAGTGGCTCAGGTAGTGCAGCTCATCCAGGATGGCACATCAATGCGAGCTGTGGCAAGAAGGTTTGCTGTGTTTGTCAGCGTAGTGTCCAGAGCATGGAGGCGCTACCAAGAGACAGGCCAATACATCAGGAGATGTGGAGGAGGCCATATGAAGGCAACGACCCAGCAGCAGGACCGCTAGCTCCGCCTTTGTGCAAGGAGTAACAGGAGGAGCACTGCCAGAGCCCTGCAAAATGACCTCCAGCAGGCCACAAATGTGCATGTGTCTGCTCAAACGGTCAGAAACAGACTCCGTGAGGGTGGTATGAGGGCCCGATGTCCACAAGTTGGGGTTTTGCTTACTGCCCAACACCGTGCAGGATGTTTGGCATTTGCCAGAGAACACCAGGATTGTCAAATTCGCCACTGGCGCCCTGTGCTCTTCACAGATGAAAGCAGGTTCACACTGAGCACATGTAACAGACATGACAGAGACTGGAGACGCCGTGGAGAACGTTCTGCTGCCTGCAACATCATCCAGCATGACCAGTTTGGCAGTGGGTCAGTAATGGTGTGGCATTTCTTTGGGAGGCCTCCATGTGCTCGCCAGAGGTAGCCTGGCTGCCATTAGGTACCGAGATGAGATCCCCATATCCCTTGTGAGACCATATGCTGGTGAGGCTGGCCCTGGGTTCCTCCTAATGCAAGACAATGCTAGACCTCATGTGGCAGCAGTTCCTGCAAGACGAAGGCATTGATGCTATGGACTGGCCCGCGCATTCCCCGGACCTGAATCCAATTGAGCACATCTGGGACATCATGTCTCGCTCCATCCACCAACGTTACGTTGCACCACAGACTGTCCAGGAGTTGCAGATGCTTTAGTCCAGGTCTGGGAAGAGATCCCACAGGATACCATCTGCCACCTCATCAGGAGCATGCACAGGCGTTGTAGGGAGGTCATACAGGCACGTGGAGGCCACACACTGTACTGAGCCTCATTTTGACTTGTTTTAAGGACAGTACATCAAAGTTGGATCAGCCTGTAGTGTGTTTTTCCACTTTAATTTTGAGTGTGACTCCAAATCCACACCTTCGTGGGGTTGAAAAATTTGATTTCCATTTTTAAATTTTTGTGTGATTTTGTTGTCAGCACATTCAACTATGTAAAGAACAAAGTATTTCAGAAGAATATTTAATTCATTCAGATCTAGGATGTGTTATTTTTGTGTTACCTATATTTTTTTGAGCAGTGTATATAAACACATGCACACTATATGTACAAAAGTATTGGAACATCTTAATTATTGAATTCAGGTGTTTCAATAAGACCCATTGCCACATGTGTATAAAATCAAGCACATAGCAGTGCAGTCTGCATTTACAAGCATTCATGAAAGAAAAATGGGTCAATCTGAAAAGCTCAGTGAATTCAAGGTTGGTACTGTGATAGGATGCCTCATTGACAATAAGTGAGTTCATAAGATTTCATCCCTGCTAGATATTCCACAGTCAACTGTAAGTGGTTTTATTGGACAGTGGAAGCATTTTGGAACAACGGCAACTCAGCAACCAAGTGGAGGACCATGTGAAGTCACAGAGCAGGGTCACCATGTTCTGAGGCACATGGTGCGTAAAAGTCACCAATCCTCTGCTGATTTTTTGGTTTGGTTTTTGTTTCTTTGCAAATCAATTCACAGATAGGTGTTTTGGTGAAGCTCAGGTCTAAACTATCTATCACATGTGAAAACCAAGGGATGCAAAGAATATGTATGCAGGAATTATATAAAAAGCCTAATCTGTACATTGTGATACACTTCAAATACACCATAGCAGATGCTCTAAGGTGACAATTGCCCAATATTAGCCCATCCTTCAACATCCAATACAAATATAAAAATCCAGAGTAATTCCATCATATTATGAAAGTTGAAATTGCA